ATATATATATATATGTGTGTGTGTGTGTGTGTGTGTATATTGTTTCTGTTGACTGTTCAGTGCCCTGAGACAACTTCTGTTGTGACTTTGTGCTTTATAAATAAACTGAATCGAATTGAATACCAACCCAGCGGCTGTTAGTTCAGCTCATTGTTGCAAATGCAGCTAGATAAAAGCTATGTTGTTTTTCAGAAACTCCCTTGTCCCTACAACTATCAGAACACTTGGAGCTGTTCATTCCAAAAGTACACAATGTCCTGGGCTGCAACATGAAACCAGAACAGATACCAAGACTGAAGTTTATCTGATGAACAAATCTAGCAATAAGGCTCAAATACAAACTGTGCCTTTTAGATCCTCATGGTAAATTGTTTTCTAAATTATTATTATGAAGTAACATTTTATACAAGACTTTTATTTTATTTGCTGTAAGACTTTGAGCACAAAAAGGTTAGTCTGTAAATTACAAGTGAGCTCTACCATTAACCTTTATGCATGCATGTTGTCTTCATACTCTCTCAGATTCCTTTAAATCTAACTTTTGACAGCAGTTAGGAAAGATGGCATTGAACAAATGTCAAACCCAAAATATTTCACATTGGCAGTCTTCGAACCAAAGGGTGATGTTGCTACATCCATCTTTAAAATGGTACTGTGATTTTTGAAGTGATGTTCTATCTCATAGAACATAATTAGTCACGATATCAGTCATATGTCATGATGACATAAGAAACTGGTATTAGAAGTTTTATCCAGGCTGGGACAAACAAGGGCCTTTAAAAAATACTATTCTTTTACCAGACCGAAAAAAACAACAAATTTTCAAAATGGTATACAGGGAGGGTTAAACAGACAGAACACTACACTGGCTAATATTAAAACTCTATTGCATGACACCATGTGTTTAGTGTGTTGTTTTCACAACCGAACAACATTCATGTTGCTAGATGAACAATATAAAATGAGGCTTTGTTTGGCTAACTATTAGCCTAGCCTGGATGAATTACATACCCTCCGTGCTCTGAGACTGATAGTTATGTTTATCTTTCGGCTGCTCTTGGGGGTGCAGATGGTGGGGATCCAGGGCCTTGCTCAGGGGCAAATGAGGGTGGAGACAGGTGTGGGTGCTTCACCATTCTCTCCCACATTTTGATGTCGTCGGTACGGGGAGTTGAACCGGCGACCTTCCGATCACAGGCCGACCTTCTCTAACCTCTGCACCACCATTCCCTAACTGATAAGATACTAACTATCGATGACTATTTGTCAGAACATGACTTCTAAACTGACCAGATTTTCCCATTAAGGCCTAATTCTAAATTTCCACCAGCACTAATATTTATGCTGGAAAGAAAAAGAAAAAGTCTCTAAACTCTTTCTCACTGAGGAATAAAAGACGGCTCGGTCAACACCCGCACCCCTCACACACCCCTCCCCCCCAAAAAGGGGTTAAAAAACAACAACTGGACTTCTATTATGTAGCTGAAGACGTTTTGCTTTCCAGCTGTGAGGTGTTCTAAACTCCAAAAATGCAAAAAAATGACACTTTTTGAATTGTTAAAGTCGATGCGACGAGAAACGTCTCCAGCTACAGAAGTCCAGTGGTTTATTTGTCTTTGTTTTGTTTTTGTACCCTTTTTTTTAGATTTACCATGTTGTGGATGACTGAAAATCCTCACCAGCATACCATCTCATGTGATGTTGAGAAGATTTAGTTCATTTTCAAAATAAATATGGCTTCATAAAGCCTACTCTTTTTTTAATTTCTCTGCTTTTCCCCCCTCGTACAAAGAAACGAGTGAGAGTGGTTAAAATAAATGGACTAAAAAGTGGTGGGAAGACTCCTTGTTCCCCATGCACACATGAAATTTGAGTCTCAGATAAATCCAC